ACATACCTGTTAACTTGTATCAATTTTTTAAGCAATACGCTGGATCAGAGCTGAACTTTTACCAGCTTGAACTTGCCTTGCCAGACAGGGAAAGATTGCAAGAAATTAGAATGAAGAGGTTTCTCAAAGTACACTCGTTCTTTCTCACCACAGATGGTTCCTCTCCAAATCTTGGTCAGCTGAAAACATTTATTTAGGAGAAGAACGGTGCTGTATTTTAAAGACTCCATTCTTAAAGCTCTGTGCTTTGCTTTGGAGGTGACTTCAGTCCTTACGATTTTGCTTCCCGGAGGAAGGAGCCTCTGAAGAAGAATTATTTTTAATTTATCTCCAGTCAGTGAAAGGCTAGACTGTGCTTAGTCTCTGCACATGGATGAGGGAGCCAGAAGCCGCCTTTTGCAACATTCCTGCAGCCTGAGTCCATGAGTAGAGGAGTAAAGTGTATTATTCACCTGTTTACTGCCTCCCAGAAGCATGCACTGAGAGAGTGGGTGGGGAGGGGCAGTGAATGGATGCACCCTTGGCTCCGCTCCCGTTACTCTCTGGCCAGATTAGCTCCCAGGAGTAAGGCAGAATGGGGAAGGAATTGTCTCTGAAGTACAATGCCTCCTCATGCTACTCCTGGAGTACCTCTTGCTCTGAGCTGTGCCTGAAGTCACACTATAGTTTAATAGTATCTGAGGATCTGTTCCAATGCCCATTGACACCAGTGAGATCATTCCTATTGGTTTCAGTGGGTGTTAAGATCAGGGCCTGAGCCCTGGAGTTAATGGGAATTGTCATTTACATTGATGGCAGCAGGATTGGGCTCTAAAATCCATTAAGTACCAACATTAAAAAAGAAGAAGAAAGGGCCGTGAGACAACCTGACCAGCCTGGCCGGTGTTTACTCACTCTGAATAAAAGCAGCAATCACAGAAATTGATGGAGAGCTTTATTAAAGGTGAGTCGGTTGCTTTCACTCACAGGTTTTGTTTGGTGGTATTAGGTTTGGGTACCTCACAGGTCAGGTATTTCAGACCCAACCATCTCCAGACAATGCACTCCTCTATTGTAAAGCATTTCCTCTAGAAATCTGACATTGCTTAAAACGTACTTTCCAGTTCTAAATCCAGTGGAGAAAAAAAATATGCTACTTCCATTTTAATGTCATTCCCTTTATTTTCTATTTCCAGGCTGAAGTAATTTTCCTCTTTGACCATGTGCTCCCAGGCAGCCTGTACAATTTCCCAAGGGTGAAAGCCTTCTCTTAGCGAACTGCAGTGAATATTACCACTGGCTCTTGAAAAATGCCAATAAGAGAACAAATAATATTTGTTCATAATAATGTTCACTGCAAACCATGACTGATTAGTGGTATATGGGACATCAACAGCGACAGTAATCAAGGTTATTTTAGCATTGATTTTGTACAGAGGTGAAGCGTCTTTGATGTATTACTTCATCAACACCTGCAGAGCCAAACTTTACACATGGAATTAATCCCAATTAATTAGGCTAGTTGTGGATAGTGCTGGGCTCTTTTATGTTGCAAAATAAATATTAATTCAGTGACATTTTTTCCCCTTGTGCATCTTATGTGGTTAGGAAGGGGAGGTAAAAAAAATCTATTGACCAATGTACTGAAATAATCTAGAAAATTTAGATAACTGAGAGGGCCTGAGAGGCTACTGTGGTTGCTTGAGATTGACTAAACCCATTAAGTCCTACAGCAGAAATTCAAAAAGTTGGGGCCCAATTCTGTCATCTTTATTGTGAGGCTACTTATGAAGCAAATACTGCACAACAGGAGTAAAACGGACCAGAATTAGATCCTTTGTCTTCCCCAGCAGCCTACTTAGCACTTTAGCTTGTGATTTTAGGCCCAGCCCTGAACAAGGGTGGGGCGTATATTAAACAACCTCAGAAGTTTGATCTGAGGGTTGCCGAGATTTGAGCCTGGTCTACATTACGAAATTGGGTTGACGTAAGCCGCCTTGTGCGTGTTATTACACTTAAATTTATCTCCAGCTGACATAAGCTCTCCATTACACCAACACAGTAACACAATTTCTCTCTGAGACACTGAGCCATGGTCAATGTATTGAGTTCAACTTAATGCAAATATAGACACCGCATTACCTACAGCGACCTAACAATACTCCAGCCGTTGTCCCATAATGCCTGGTACTGATGGCTCTGGTCAAAATTGTGACCAAAATTGTGAACTTCACTGCCCAGGAGTCATGGATGCCACCCACCCCTTTAAAACCTGATTGTCCAGTGTGGTGAGTGCACCTAGCAGCTCTCCATTGCGGTGTGCAACTGCCCTGCTGACCACACTGCCTATACACTCCAGACCTGCTCCGGCTTGGAGTAGACAGGAGATATTGGATCTCCTGGGCATGTGGGGAGAAGAGGTTATGCAAGTACAGCGGTAGACCAGCTGTAGAAATGTGGACATCTATGCGCATATTGCACAGGGGATGCCAGAGCAGCGATACGACCAGAGACAGTGATAGGCATAAGCAGACTAAGCAATTGCTTAGGTCCCTGAGCAGCTCAGGGCCCTCTGTTTGCTTTTTTATGATAAGAACATGCCTGCTTTAGTATTGGGTGCCTTGTGTGTGGGAGGGAATAGTCCTGCTTACGGCCCACAATGGGCTAGCACCAGCTCTGGCTAAGACAGGGAACAGCAGCAGTACTGCGTAAAAGCAAGGAATTGCTGCAGGCATACCAGAAGCCCAGGGAGGCCAACAGCTGATCTGGTGCTGCGCCGTAGACCGGCCGCTTTTACAACTAGCTACATGCCATAAATGGTGGAGACACCACCACCTCTGTGGATACCTCTCAGGAACCCAAGTCACAGGTTTCTGGTGTGAACAATGAGGAGGGGGGAAGTGGATATGTTCAGGAAGGATAGGTCCATGAATGGCTATTAGTCAGGATGGGCATGGATGCAAAACCATGTTTTTAAGTGCCTCTGTTTGCCAGAAGGTGACAGTAGATGACAGGAGATGGATCAGTTGATGATTACCTGTTCATTCCCTCTGAAGCACCTGGCATTGGGTACCGATGGAAGTCAGGATAGTGGGCTAGATGGACCACTGATGTGCCCAAGTATGGTCTTAAGTTGGAGGAGGATGGGGGACATGTGACCAGGAGGTCCAGGTATACCATGAGTCAGGACCTCTGTAAGTCTCAACCTCTGTCAAGTCAATCCCTGTAGTAGAGAATGGGGAAGCCCACCGAAGGGAAATGAAACTTGGGTAAGTATATGAATTTCTTTCCAATTACAATGATGGGGCCCCTAACTTATGAGAACACAGATATAGACTTTCCATTGATTTACCCATGGTAGAAGAGCTAGAAAAGCAATCAAAACTTATAGCATTGTTATCTACTTTTCATTCCCATGTAATGTTAGGAAGAGGGGACCATACAGAGGAGTTGGTTTATGTCCACAGGGAAGTCCCATTAATCCTCCTGAAAGATCTCAATTATCCTTTCATGGAGGAACTCTTCAATCCTCTCTAGAAAGGTCTGAGGGATGGAAGTGTTATTTCTTTCTCCACAGAAGGATACTTGTAGCTGTCCTACGACACAGGAAGAAATAATGCTGTGAACGGTGTTTTATAGGACAAAGGTTTAAATGGCAGAGCTAAACTACAGACTATCTGCACTCTCCACACACACCCTTCTAAGAACACCCACCAAAATCCCTGTGAAATTTGAACTCACAAAGAAAACTCACTAACACTGGAGCTAGGATGCCTTCTCTCCCTTTGAATGTCTAGCTATAGCAAGGCCAGGTGCTGCACCACCACACACAGAGCCGGGCCAGGTGCAGTGAGCCCTTCATGTTGGGGAGTTTCTCCTTTTGGTCCTCGCTCCCTGCGGAAGTGCAAGCTCTCTACCACAAGCCTCTGGCATTGCCTTATGCATCAGATGGTGGCAGCAATTCCTTCCAGCTAGGCTGTCTCCCAAATCACATGCCACTGGGGATGCTGTTCCCCGTCAAGAGAAGCCATGGAGGAAGGCTTAATAGTCGAGCTGCGAGAGACCAAAGGAGGCTCCATAGTCGGCCTCTGGAGGCTAACCTGTGGCCGTTGGGTCTGTGGGGTCCCAGGACCCCATCCTTCCAACCACTGGGTCATAGGCAGTCCGCCAAGCCCAGAACGCTTCTGTGAGCAGCAGAAGCAGGAGCACTCCCTCACAGGACCAGCAGCACTCGACATCTTTGCTTTGGATTTGGAGATTTTTCCCAAATTCTGACCAAGGGGGTCTAATTTCACCTCACCTGGACTCCAAGCCACTGGCCGGGCACTCCAGAGCTAGCCAAGCACATGCAGAGAGACAGCTTCCTAATCAAGCATAGCATTGGTCCTGCTTTGAGCAGGGGGTTGGACTAGATGACCTCCTGAGGTCCCTTCCAACCCTGATATTCTATGATTCTATGATTAACTCCATTGAGACACAGAGTGCTGAGTAGTTATCCAAAGCCAGAGCACCGTAGTACACCCAAGACATTTGTGGGTGTAGTGATTGGGCTGCTCTTGACTGCTAACCAGAATGGTTGAGCGGTTAAGGTGTTGGGCTCAAGCCCCAATGGGCATGAGTCTGAATCTCACTTCTGCTTGGCCCCTGCTTCTGCTGCTACCCTTTGAACAACTGGTATAATAATTCAGGTTGCTGCTTTTCTTTAACAAAGCCCTCTAGCACCCAGCCGTGCTGTGCCCCTCCCAAAAATAATAAATACCTAAGGAAAGCACCTCACAGCTGAGGGACAACAGACACAAGCTACCATCCATACCCCAGTGAGCTTTGAACTCACAACCCCTGGTTTACAAGGCTAGTGTTCTAATCCCTGAACTATAAAGCCAGGCAACAAGCTTGTGTCCCTCTGCTCTCATGCCTACCCAAGTGATGCTGCACCTGCCCTAGTCATGTGCTCAAGACAGTGGGCTCATTGACAACATCCCAAGAAGTCATTCTTCTGCTGGGGAGGGTTTATGGCACTCACCAGAATGGCCGAGAGGTTAAGGCGTTGGACTTAAGTTCCAATGGATGTGTGTCTGCGTGGGTTTGATCCCCACTTCTGGTAAGATACCACCCCCCTACCTGGGAGCTCTAGGCAGATGGCTTTTATTCCTTTGCCATGGCACAGCCACTATAAGGGAAGCTTCCTCCAGCCACTCACCACTGTATGAGGCAAATAAGTCTGCAAACCTGGTTCTGCGAGGTTTCAACTCACAACCCCTGGTTTACCAAACCAAAAACTCAACATCAAGCAAACCACCATCACTCCTGGAAGAGCACATCTGGCCCTAGAAATTGCTGATTTTACTCCGCGGGGAATTCTGAGCCACTGTGCATGTACAGAATTTATGTCCCCTGCAGATTTCTTTGATTCCCTGCAGAAAAAAGTCTTTCTGACGGAGATGCAAAGGGAAGCCAGAAGAGCGGTCACACGACCCTCCCCAGAAGTATGTTTTGGGTGGCCAGGGCAGCTGGCAGAGAGATAAATCACTGTGGGGCAGGAGGTGGGACTGGGGAAGACCCAACTGGGGGCTGCTGCCCTGAGTCGGGCTCAGCTGCTAGTCCTGGCTGGGCTGGGGAGGCCAGGACTTCCTCTTCTCCTGCATGGTATCTGGGGCCTGGTCAGACCCACCCTCAAATTTATCCCCCAGCTTGGGAAGCTCTGCAAAATCACCTCCCCCCCCACCCCGTTCCGCCCCGCCATGCTTCCTGCACCCATCGCTCCTCAGCTGCAGGGGGAGTGATCCCTGTTGGGGGTTGGCTGGTCCCCCATCCAGCCAACCCCCATACATCCAGACCCCCTCATTCCCAGACCCTCCCGTTGACCCTCAATCCCACACACTCAGAAGCCCCCTGATGAGCCCCACTCCCCTTGCACCTGGACCAACCCGATGAGCCACCTGCACCCGGATCCTGACCCAACCAAACCCCAACCAGCTACACCTGGATCCCCAGCCCACTGAGCCCCACTCCCCCAGCATCTGGACCCCCCACTGAGCCCCTCACACCCAGACCCCCCAGCCTAGCTCTATCCCCCCTCACATCCAGAGCCTGCCTGCTGAGCCCCAAGCACGTTCACCTGGTTCCCCCTTCAAAGTCCCGTTACTGTTGCACCCAGAACCCCCAGGCAAGCCCCTGGACATCCAGCTCCCACCCCACACACAGATCCCCCCTGAGCCGCCCACACCCAGATTGCACCACACAGAACCCTCTCAACCCACACCTAGATCCCTCCACACTTGGATCCTGCCTTGCTGAGCCTGTGTCCCCACAGCTGGTGCACCTGGCATGGAGGGGCAGGGTCCTGGGGTGTTTCTGGGTCAGGCCCAGTCCTTGCACTGCCAGGGCTAAATACAGCCTCATCCCTGAGTCCGTGTCTGGGGGTGGGGGGAGCCTCACAGTGATTTCCCACAACTGTGCAACCGGTGGCCTGTGCTCCCTGATTGCATGCTGAAGCCTCCAAATTTATTTGACAAATAAAATTTGCAGAATTATGCAGAAATTTGAAATATAGTGTGCAAAAATTTTAATTTTGTGGCACAAAAGACAATCAGAAGTATGATTTTGCTAGGCCCCCTGCCTCGGGGCCCCCACTTTCCAAGACCACTGCCATAGAACAAGGCCGGGTGCTGCACTGTCATGCACCAGGCCGGGTGCGGAGATCCCTTCATTTTGGGAGCGTAGCGTGGCTGGAAGGGAGCCAGCACGCACCCAGAGTGCACCTCATGTTCCTGGGGAAGCTGGCTCTAAAGCCTTTGCAGGAGACCTCGCTCTGGATCAGGGTTTTGTGCAGAACAGAGCAGCCATCTGGCTGCCCCCTATGGAAAGTGGACGCTTGCCCCAAGACTCTCTCCCTTTCCTCAACAGCTCTGCTCCAGGTGGCACTTCAGCGGGATGGCAAAGGTGCCCTCAGCGCATGGCAGAGGTGTACTCAGCACGGGGTTGAGGTTGGGAGAACCGGGTCCATTGCACCCAATGGGATGACCTGGTGGCCACAGTTCTTTCCAGCCGGACTGTCCCCCACCAACAGAAGCAATGGTGGAAGTCTTAATATTTGAGTTGTGGGAGATCAAGTGAGGCTCCACAGTGAGCCTCTGGAAGCTAATTTGTTGCCTTGGAGATAGGGGGCCTGGGACCCCATCCTCCCAACCCCTGGGTCATAGGCAGTCCCCCAAGCCCGGAATGCTGCTATGAGCAGCAGGAGCACTCCCTCACAGGACCATTGGCACCCGATGTCTTTGCTTTGGATTTGGAGATTTTTCCCAAATTCTGACCGAGGGGGTCCAATTTCACCTCCCCTGCACTGCAAGCTGCTAGCAGCTAGCCAACTACACGCAGAGAGACAGTTTCCTAATCAAGCATAGCATTCTGTGAACCCGTTTGAGACACAGGAGTGCTGGGTAGTTATCCAAAGCCAGAGCGCCGTAGCACGCCCAAGATGTTTGTGGGTGTAGCAGTTGGGCTGCTCTTGCCTGCTCACCAGAATGGCCAAGCGATTAAGGTGTTGGGCTCAAGCCACAATGAGCATGAGCCTGTGTGGGTCCGAATATCACTTCTGCTAGGCCCCTTTTGCTGCTGCTACCTTTGAACATATATAATATGGTATAATAATTTAGGCTGCTGCTTCTCTTTAATAAAGCCCTCTGGCACCCACCCCTGCTGCACCCCTCCCAAAAACTAATAAAAACCTAAGGAAAGGGGAGCACTCCACTACTGGGGAACAACAGGCCCTGTCAGAAACTGCTGCTCAGGCCCCAGTGAACTTTAAATTCACGACCCCTGGTTTACAAGACCAGTGCGCTAACCCCTGAGCTATGGAGCCAGGCCACAAGTTGGCTTCCCTCTGCTCCAATGCCGACCTAAGTGATGCTGTGCTTGCCCTAGTCACGTGCTCAAGGCAGTGGGCTCGTTGACGACATCCCAAGAATTCATTCTTCTGCTGGGGAGGGCTTGTAGCACCCAGCAGGATGGCCAAGAGGTTAAGGTGTTGGACTTAAATTCCAATGGACATTTGTCTGCATGGGTTTGATCCCCACTTCTGGTAAAATGTTGCTCTCCTACCTGGGAGTTCTAGACAGCTGGCTTTTATTTCTTTGCCATGGCAAAGTCGTTATAAGGGAAGCTTCCTCCCACCATCCACCTCTGGACAAGACAAATGAGTCTGCAAACCTGCTCCTGCAAGGTTTGAACTCATGACCCTGGTTTACCAAAACAAAAGCCCAACATCAAGCAAACCACCATTACCCCTGGAAGAGCACATCTCACCGAGGAAATCGTCATGTTCCATGAAGCTCCTGTTGAAGTTCTGCAAATACCTCAGGACCATGTGTCCTGTGCTTTCAGTGCTATAACAGTAGTGCAGCGCTGTGCAGATTACTGTAGGATTTTTAAAATAGGTGTGAAAATTATGGGATAGAGATGAAAGAACAGGTTGAGGACTATTTAGAAAAGCTTGACATGCAAATTTTGAAGCACTTGGAGGAAAGTAAAGTTATCAGGAACAGTCAACATGGATTCACCAAGGGTAAGTCATGCCTGACCAACCTGATTGCATTCTATGATGAGATAACTGGCTCTGCAGAGATGGGGATGGTGGTGGACGTGATATATCTTGACTTTAGCAAAGCTTTTGATTTGGTCTCCCACAGTAATTTTGCCAACAAGTTAAAAAAGTATGGATTGGATGAATGGACTATAGGGTGGATAGCAAGTTGGCTAGATCGTTGGGCTGAACAGGTAGTGATCAACTGCTCAATGTCTAGTTGGCAGCCAGTATCAAGCGGAGTGCCCCTGGGGCCAGTTTTGTTCAACATCTTTATTTATGATCTGGATGATGGGATAGATTGCATCCTCAGAAATTTTGTGGATGACACTAAGCTGGGGGGAGAGGTAGATACACTAGAGGGTAGAGATAGGGTCCAGTGTGACCTAGAAACATTGGAGGATTGGGCCAAAAGGAGTCTGATGAAGTTCTAAAGGACAAGTGCAGAGTCCTGCACTTAGGATGGATGAATCCCATGCACCGCTACAGGCTGGGGACCAACTGGCTAAGAAGCAGTTCTGCAGAAAAGGACCTGGGCATTACAGTGGATGAGAACCCGGATATGAGTAGCAGTGTGCCTTTGTCGCCAAGAAGGCTAACGGCTGCATTAGTAGCAACATTGCCAGCAGATCGGGGGAAGTGATTTATTACCTCTATTCGGCACCAGTGAGGCCCCATCTGAAGTATTGCGTCCAGTTTTGGGCCCCCCACTGCAGAAAGGATGTGGACAAACTGGAGAGAGTCCAGCGGAGGGCAACAAAAATGATCAGGGGGCTGGGACACATGACTTATGAGGAGAGGCTGAGGGAACTGGAGTTATTTAGTCTGCAGAAGAGAAGAGTGAGGGGGGATTTGATAGTAGTCTTCAACTACCTAAAGGGGGATTGAGCTCAGCTGATTTCAGTGGTGGCAGATGACAGAACAAGGAGTAATGGTCTCAAGTTGCAGTGGGAGAGGTCTAGGTTGGATATTAGAAAACACTATTTCATTGGGTGGGTGGTGAAGCACTGGAATGGGTTACCAAGGGAGGTGGTGGAATCTCCATCCTTAGAGGTTTTTAAGGCCTGGCTTGACAAAGCCCTGGCTGGGATGATTTAGTTGGGGATCAGTCCTGCTTTGAGCAGGGGGTTGGAGTCGATGACCTCCTGAGGTCTTTTCCAACCCCAATCTTCTATGATTTTATGATTATGGGTGTGGAGAAAGTTGCATGGTGGGAACTTGACCCTGCAATCCCAATAACCCCCACATGACTCATTTCTGCTCCACCATGATTGCCAAAGCTTCCCAAAGGACAGTGCACTGGATGGTGGAGAGCTGCACCCTGGGATACCTATGCATAGTGCACTGCACTGTGTATTGACATATGCTGCAGCCACCGGTTGCGGGGTTTGCAGGGGAAGTTTTTGCTTATTATTATGCGCCATGCAGGTTCCGGGGCGTCTGAGGAGGCTGCATGTATTACTCAGCTTCCTGGATTTAATCTCAGTAATCTCCTCAACTGCCCTGGAACCTGGATTACGCAT